TGGCAATAAGGGTGTGGGCTGCCTGCACTCAGCTCCCCCCGCCTGTCGGATCCAGGGACTGGCCTCGACCCGTCTCCGGCCTGCTCCGGCTCCCAGAGCTCTTGCCTGGCAGGTCCTGGCATAGGGGGCCCCCCCTCCCCGTTTTGAGAAGCCCAGGTCCCGGGGCCTGTTACGGGCCCATGGGGGGGCCCTACGTTGGGGTGGGGGAGCTCAGGGCAGGGAGCAGCTGCTAATCCGGAACCGCTCCTGGACAAGGCAGGGAGCACAGGGCAGCATCCCTGCCTGCCCAGGGAGGACGGGGTGTTCCCTGGTATCTTACGCAGGGGAAGGCAGGGCCTGGGAGGAGGCTACGTGGCCCCATTAGACGCACAGATGCTGGCAGACGGGGGAGCAATGGGGCAGGGATGGGGGGCCAATGTGAGCGCTGTCGCACCGGGCAGCCGCAGGGTTACCCAGGGCGGGGCTGTGCCCGGAGCGCGTGGGACGATGGGATGTGAGCGCTGTCGCACCGGGCAGCCGCAGGGTTACCCAGGGCGGGGCTGTGCCCGGAGCGCGTGGGACGATGGGATGTGAGCGCTGTCGCACCGGGCAGCCGCAGGGTTACCCAGGGCGGGGCTGTGCCCGGAGCGCGTGGGACGATGGGATGTGAGCGCTGTCGCACCGGGCAGCCGCAGGGTTACCCAGGGCGGGGCTGTGCCCGGAGCGCGTGGGACGATGGGATGTGAGCGCTGTCGCACCGGGCAGCCGCAGGGTTACCCAGGGCGGGGCTGTGCCCGGAGCGCGTGGGACGATGGGATGTGAGCGCTGTCGCACCGGGCAGCCGCAGGGTTACCCAGGGCGGGGCTGTGCCCGGAGCGCGTGGGACGATGGGATGTGAGCGCTGTCGCACCGGGCAGCCGCAGGGTTACCCAGGGCGGGGCTGTGCCCGGAGCGCGTGGGACGATGGGATGTGAGCGCTGTCGCACCGGGCAGCCGCAGGGTTACCCAGGGCGGGGCTGTGCCCGGAGCGCGTGGGACGATGGGATGTGAGCGCTGTCGCACCGGGCAGCCGCAGGGTTACCCAGGGCGGGGCTGTGCCCGGAGCGCGTGGGACGATGGGATGTGAGCGCTGTCGCACCGGGCAGCCGCAGGGTTACCCAGGGCGGGGCTGTGCCCGGAGCGCGTGGGACGATGGGATGTGAGCGCTGTCGCACCGGGCAGCCGCAGGGTTACCCAGGGCGGGGCTGTGCCCGGAGCGCGTGGGACGATGGGATGTGAGCGCTGTCGCACCGGGCAGCCGCAGGGTTACCCAGGGCGGGGCTGTGCCCGGAGCGCGTGGGACGATGGGATGTGAGCGCTGTCGCACCGGGCAGCCGCAGGGTTACCCAGGGCGGGGCTGTGCCCGGGTCCTGTCCGATCTCTTCCCCGGGCAGTTCCCAGTCTGGGGCCAGCCCCCGAGAAGCTCCGTCAGCTGGCGGCTGAGGCCTGTTCCCGTAGATGGTGTGG